AAAAGTTGTCTATACCGCAGACTATAACTAGTTTGATTTATAAATGGGTTTATATCATTTTAAGGTCCTTATTGTGTTTTTACTTTCACTTACCTATGTATTTAATATATAGTAAGGGAAAGTATTGCGACCGTACACAGTTTTGAATCTGAGTTGTTAACGGAAATATACTTTTTCAAGTCTCCAGAGTCTAAATAACCAAGTCTCCCAAAATGGTCTATGTGTGTGTATGTGAACTGTCTAGCCCAAAAACGACAAGTCAAGTCGTGCAAAACCGATATTAGGTATTTAAGATAAATATATGCCTCAGACGTGACAGCAACTTTTTCGTTAAAATCGACTAACCGGAAGTGGCACTTTATATCCACGGTTTACACATTTTTACAATTTTCTCAAAAACCGCTCCAACGATTTTGATTAAACTCGGTGTATCATGGTATAATTAAGTGGTCTTTAATATAAAATTGAGGTCTTATCCCCATTGATGTCACTTTACAGGCCTTAAATGCTTAAATGTTCAATATGTCTTCCTTTAAAGTACCTTTAATTTGATTAATTTTAAATAATTAACTATCTCTCATTCTTAATAGTTACTTATGAAATAATTAATATAACTTATGAAAGTATTTGATAATTCAAAAATGAAGAAAAAATAGAAATTGTTATTTAAGTCGAAAATGAATTTCCGGAAATACTAGTCAGAAGTTGTAAACGTATATTATATCGTTAGGAAGCGGAGAATTAAAAAAAAATCTAATATAGAAAGTCGTAGAAAGTAATGTAGTATGACGAAAAATTATAAATAATAATTAGCGAAAACTAATATTATTTAATGGAAATCACATTTTTTCAAGGAAATTTACGAACTAAATTTAAACTTTTAAAACTTTATGCATACAAATATACAAAAACAGTACCGAGGTTTTTATTGCCTACTGTTGATATAATTAATACGATTTTTTTTTCTTCATTTTAGTCGTCTTAATGATTTGTTAGCTTCAACCTTTAAGCTATAGCTCAAAAAAAATTGAATTGTCCAACATTGCTAGAAAATAATTTTTATTCAAAGTAGAGAGATAAGTGAAAGTTGTGTATTATCGATTTTTTATCGATAAATAAGGTCGAAATTTTCAAAAACTTCAAAGTTCAGCTCCATAAAAAAAATGTGCTTAATGTATTTTATCAATAAACCGACGATATTCTCTCTATAGCTAATTATTCAAAGGTAGAAGATATTTAAAAATTTTACTTACTTGTGAAAAACAAAAAAATACTGCTGTTTACGAATGTCCCTCTTTTCACCAGCTGGACTAGAAGACAAATAGTAGGAAAACAGCTGATGAAAAAACACTAAGGAAGTATACAGGTTGTCTAGAATCACAAAAAATGGCCTCCTGTATCCATTTGATTGCTGGGATATTCAAAGTAGTTTTTTTCCACGAGAGGGGAATAAAAAAATTGAGAACTAGTATCTAGTATAAGCATAACTTCTCACCACAGGCGGATCTACGGGGAGGGGAGAGGCTTTCGGGCTGAAGCCCCCTCCCTCCAAAAATGGTAAAATATAACCATGTTTTATAAAAAAATTATACATTAAAAACTTTATATAAAAAGTATTATTCTTTGTTTAATTACATTTAATAGGACTACAAGAATCACTTAAACACCATGTCATATAGGTAGTTAGTTTCTTTCTCTTTTTTTTTCAAATTAATTATCCTCATATATATGAAAAAAAAACTTTTGGGCTGAAGCCCCCCCCCCCAAAAAAATAATTAAATCCTGGATCCGTTAATAACACACAAAAATAACAATAAATCGGAACCAAGCATATTAAACACAGAAAGTCAATTTTTAAGTGTTTTGCATATAGATTGTTTTTTTTTTTTTTTGTATATAGCTTGTTTAACTAATATTTTCTTTACTTTCTCTTTTTTATTATTGTTTTATTTTGGCCAGATGCAGTATTTTAATTATGTTCTATTTTGTTATTCTAAAGGGACTTTGTCCCAGAATAAAGTTATTTTCTATTTCTATTTAAATTTTCTATAAACGTTAATTAGTTGATAAAAAAAGGAAAATCTGCTGCGGTGCGCGCACCACAAAACTTTCACCCTCTTCTTAGCAGAAATAAGTGTTTTCAGACAAAGTGGAAGTGAAAGTAAAAATTATAAACGCTATATTGATTTATATTTCATTGTGGATATTTTTATTTGTTTAAGTACCCTTATATATACAAAATTTAAATATTTATATCGCTGTAATCTATACAATCAAATATTATATAATACCAACGAAAATATTTAGAAAAACCGCATATGTATATGAATATAATATTGTCGGAGTCCGTATTATATTAAGCTCATGTTACTGTGGATGCATGTTCTAATCTTCGGGCGAGCTCTTGTATCCCTATGGTTCCTTTATTAAAACTATTCTCGGTTACGATATCTTATTTCTCCTTTAGTTATTCATAAAATTCTTTCATATTTTATATTTAACTATATTTTATATTTGAGATCTATGTAAAATGGTTAATTGTTTCAAATAAAAAAAAAAATTTAAAGGTACTTTAGAGGAAGCTAATATCGAAAATTAGCCATTTAAGCCCTGTTAGAGAATAAAACTTACATAATATTAAAAACTGCTTAATTTTACATTGATATAATGAATTTAATAAAAATTGTTGGAACTGTTTTCGAGCAAATAATAAAAATGTGTTTCATCAATGATATGAAGTTCCACTTACGGTTAGCCGATTTTGACGAAAAAGTTGCTGTAACATCTCAGATAAATACAAACCTTTAATATGCAATTTCACTTTCATACGAGTTTTCGTTTTTGAGCTAGACCTGTCACATACATACAGATACACGCACAGACCATTTTGCGGGACTTGGTTATTTGGACTCAGAAGACCTCAAAATATGTATTTCCGTTGAAAACTCAGATTCGAAAATTTTCACGATCGCAATAGTGTCCCTTACTATATATTTCATGTATAGGTATGTGAAAGTAAAATATCTTAATCGGACTAATTTTAGTAAATAATTTCTATATTAGACTTAGTACCCAAAGCGGTTTTAAGGAATTCTGTAAATGGACACACCATATATTTTATTCAGGAAGTATTAATCGTTTCCCTATTATGTAAACTATGTGATAATTTCTCATTCATAAATAAATCTGCGTAAGTAATGACTTTTTTTTTTTAATTTTGAATATTCTCGTCATGAAAAAATTATTCACCGGAAATAATTATTTCATTATGTAATTTAGGAACCATGTAGGATTAACTCTTTTTTCTTTTCCATACCACTTAAAAACATATCCTCCTTTTTTCATTCATGATTTATTATTATGAAATTTAATGAAAAGGTGTAACATATGATCAGTCTGGCAGATGATTATCTCATCTCTATATTAATTTAAAAAATATATATGAAATCGTATATCATAAAGTGTGTAAATTTCATTAATGAGGCCATTATATGAGCCTTTCAGTTGCCAGAATGACTAACTCCGATAACTCCAACATTTTTGAGTAAAGTCATTTTAGTGATATTTCTAGTTCGATAATTTATAATATCTGTACAGACAGTAAGTCGATTCCAGGGTACATGATTGTGGTTTTGAAATATAGAACTGTGAATAATCCTATATATTATTTTTAACAGGTGTTTTTTTTTTTTTTCTCAGTACGCCATAACTTCATCAATTCTTCTTCATGCGAAAAATAGTTCTACCCTCCTGAAATATCTGGAAAAAAAGTTATGAAGGAAAAGAAACTTTATTCGCGAATAACTCAAAAATTATGCATTTTCTTAATTGTACCCAGGATGATTTGAAATATCACTGAATTACTTACAAAAAAAAAAAAAAATTGTAAAAATCGGACAATTATTAACAAAGATACAGTCCATTAGGTTTGATGTAGTTAATAATTTCTTCCTCTTTAAAGTGATTGCATTTACTATTCTACTACACTTTTTTTCCTGGCTTTTATATTAACTTTATTATTTCTTAAAGACATTTGTTTGTTCTTACATTTTATTTTTTTTTAATAATTTAGAAAATCCCATGATCGAGGCTTTATTTTTAGTCATTAGAGTTTATTTTATATGTCAGCGTTTAAAAATAGGCCCTAGCGAAGCAATTTTGGTCTATTATGTTAAATGGAATATTGTAATCGACCAAGGAAAAATATTAATTCCTTCCTTACATAACAACATAGGATCTAATTATTTCCATATTGTTTTGCCATTTCTTCACTAAACAAAATTTTCTGTGAATTATTTCCACCGGTCAACTAGTATAAATTTTGCCACTATAAACATCACTAACATTAATTATAAAAGATGTTAAAATTGGGTTTAGTCATTCTGTCACTGAAAGGCTCATTTTTATCTTCTAAATAAAATGTACTGAGCTCAAGACTCCTTCATGGGCCGTAGTGGTACAAGTTTATTTTTTTAAATGTATTATTAAACTAATTAATTAAATTCTATTAATAATATTATTCTATTTAAGATGGTTGGTTTATTTGACAAGGTTTGAATGTAATCTTCCTGTCTGACATCTGCCCACAAAGATCTCCCTTAAGTTGTTTGCCTGTACTAATACTTAAAAACGTTGAAACAAAATTGAAATTCTGCCTTGTTGTAGCATCGTCATAAACTCAGTGTTGTTATTTTTCAATTCGCTTGATCTGTTTAAATTCATTTTTTATATGTTTAATTATGTTTTTAAATTCAATAATTCAGTTAGTAGCTATTTTTTTATTTTCATGTTTTTATAACTGTCCGCTGGAATCCACCAGGTCATTTATAAACTCACCATAAATGCCTGTCCATCAGTTTTGTTTCCAATCTATTGATGGAAACATCAATGAAATTGATGTTTGATGAGTTTAGTAACTAGTTCTCCTCTCATTAAAATTTAAAAAATCAACTTTAATAAATATTAAAGTTATGCAATGTACTTTTAAAATTATTTTTCAGATTAATGAAATGCATGAAGAAATTCAAACTGCTTTGTCGGAGCCGATCAGTACACCTCTAGAAAGTGAACTTGAAGAAGAATTGAAGTCCATTTTAGAAAGCGTAAAAGAAGTCGAAAAAGGTAAACTTTTTTTTTACTAATAATTGCAACTGTATAATAAGGACTGAGGTAAAAGGGACATCCTGGGTGCCAAATTTCAACCAAAATTGTTGTCTAACCTAAAATAAAATCTTTTACGCAGTTGTTACCGCTATTTAGTCAATAATATGAATTAATGTATATGATAAAATTTATTTTAAAATGTATCGCGATAATTTCAAAAAATAATTAGTGACATTTGATAAATTAAATTGCTAACTCATTTGATGGATTTTCTCACTTAATGTACTATTGCCGATGTATAAAAGTGTTGTGTTATAGCATCGATTATTTGGTTGAAATTCACAAATCCATCAAAAAAGTACTCACTGACTTTTTGGAATAGACAAGACATATTAGATAAAATATTGATTTTATTGGAGCCAGCAGAAGATGTAATAAATAAAATTAAGCTTATTCTTCCTAATTAATTAAGAAAAAATCCTAGTTCTAGTCGTGATTGGAAAAAATTATTTTCTAAAATTTACATATTTTTTTTGTTTTTCAGATATTGTTCTTCCAGAGGTGCCTGCACATGAACCTAAAGTTGTAATAAAAGAAAAAGAAGTTGCCCAGCTCGCCCTTTAGCTGAAGTATCACACTACTCGGATTTTGTATATATATGTATAATAACTGAATCGTATAAACTAATTTTTCTTTTTTACTAATAGATAAATTTATTTTCTAATGATTTGTGTTATTATTGTTGCCATAATTAAGACATTGTTAACTAACTATTAATTAGTTCTTATACTGTGATAAAACTTAAATATTACATTATACCGATACCCTACGAAGTAAGTTAATTTGTTTTCCATAAGTTACCGATCTTTTTTTTTTTATTTGTATTACAAGGTATGGCGTTTATGTACATTATTCAAATAAAATATTATTCATGCTTATCAGATTATTCATTATCCTATGAATTGTTGCTTCTTCATTCATAATGCTTTTTATGGACAAAAATCATATTTGTATCTAAATATTTAAATTATTTAAGGATAGATATATTGTTGATGGTTAACAAATAGTTGAGATTTGCAGTCTATACAAGGTGTGTCAGTTCTTAATAGCCAAACTCGAGGGGATGATTCTAGATGAAATTTCCAACAAGGGCCGATTCCAAACAGAAAATGAGTCAAGACCATATGAACGATAGCCCTGGAGCTAGGACCCAAAAATCGACCTGATCGCAGGTTGAAGGTTTGATTGTAAATTACAATGTGTATGTTATTCTGAGTAAAAAGAATCTTATCTGCCGTTCCAGAGCCACTGCTTTAAAAAATAGTGGCTGATTTAAAGAATGTTAGGCCAATAATTTGAGGATCGAAACAGGAAATCCATTGTGAAAAATGAGAGAAAAGTTTTTATTTTTTTACCTTGTATACATGCCAGATTTTTTCAACATTTGTTGTTTTCTTCACCTATAACTCCTTAATGATACATCAAAGCGAAAAATGTATTCTTTAATAAATTAAAAAATGATAAATTTTGCTTAAAACGAGTACATAAATTTTATAATTTGGTTACGCGGTAAGGTATAAAACCAACGCTGAGTTGTAGAGCATTAAATATTGCGTCAATGGATTTCCCGTTTCGATTCTCAAATTATTGCCCTATTTTTTAAAGCAGCGGCTGTCGAACGGCAGACAAGGTTCTTTTTACTCAAAATAACACACTTTTGTTGTTGAAGAGACCACGAGGGTGTCTAAGAGTTTCATATCAGGAGTTCATGCTCAAGGAAGAGGATCGGAGGTAGAAGAGGCAAATCCTTCAACCAAATGAAGCGGTTAAGCAGAGACCAGGAAGAGTGGCTGCGCTGGATAGAGACTCCTCAACGCTAGAAACGGCATTGTGAGGAAGACAAAAAAGAGTAGTACTATTTTAGTTTTTGTTCTCTCCGAAAAAGTTGTTTAATTTATTATTAGCTTCTTCTTGATGAAAGTGGGCAAGTCAGTGCTGACATGGCGGCCAAGATATCATAAATAGAAAAATATAGTTTATGTTATACACATTTTATATTAATAGTCGGTGCAGACCAGTGTTGAGTAATTATTGTAATAAACTTTGTTATTAATAAGTTTGCCGAAGATACGTTTGAGGAGCTGGAAAGGGAGGCCAATAGATTTGGCCCAGAGATTAATAAAGAAAAGACCAAGATTATGGTTTTAAGAAGAAAGGGACCCAGGTTCCTCCAGATATGTCGTAGTCGGAAACTTCACATTCTGATGTGTAGGTAGTACGATGTGTAGTACCTTTGGGCACAATTTAATGTAGCATTACAGGAGGAGATCCAGGCATGCATTCTCTCGGCTAATAAAACTTTTTTTTCTCGATAGCTCATCTTACAAGAGGTAAATTGGTTAGCCGCTCAACCAATTTAAGGTTATATAAGACACTAATTAGACCTGTTGCAACATATGCATATGAGACGTGACCGCTTAAAAAATCAGTAACTTTGAAAGTCGACATCTTTAAACATAAAATATTCTAGGACATGTGAAGGAAAATGGGGTATATAAGCTTAGAAAGAATAGAGAACTATAGTCCTTATATGGCGGCATGAAGTTGTCGGATTATGCCAGGATACAGCGCCTGAAGTGGTTGGATCACCTCAATAGAATGGATGATGGGAGAACAATCAAAAAGTTATAGCGGGATTATCCGGAAGGAGTGCAGGCTCGAGGAAGGTCAAGAAGTTGATGGAAGAAGTCTCAGAAGAACTCCGAACGTTTAACATGTCTTTAAGACTAGCTGCTGACCAACGGAAGTAGGTAAGAACGATTGAGCTGGCCAAGGATCATATAGTGCATCTGTTGTGCCTATGAAGATTAATAAGTATTTAACAGGTACCCTGCCATAGCTGTTTATCGTATCATCTTCTCTAAAGTTTCTTGTACCCCTGAGCTTGGGGAGGATAAAAATTTATATCTACGTAATGGTAATAATAAATTCCACTCTTTAGGTATCAAATAAATGTCTAACCCAGTTAATTTATGAACCTCATTAGCTTTCGAAAAAAAATTAATTTTTAATACAAGATTAAGTTAAATTATTGAGAAAAATTTGATAAAAAACAGGTATCATTTCCTGTAGCATATATCTCTAGGGATGGGATATGGAATTGCCATCGGCCTATAACCATCGATACCACCAAAATATTGGACTTGAAATATCGGAAGTCCTTATTTTCATCGATATTACCAACATTTTTGAAATATGAATATCAATGTAAGTATTGATTCTGTAGCATATAAGTGGATGAAAAAAAATGTTATGTTTAATTAATTAATGGAAATATCAATTCTTCAATCCTCCTAGCAAAATTAATTTTCTAGTTCCTGTTCATCTTCATTATCCAGAAAGTCCCATTCAAGAAATTATGCCTTCCATTTACCCATATATCAGATTCAACAAAAGGTTCATTTATTTGCATCCTATATAAATTTCTTTGGTATTTCGTGGCCTTGGTTCGAGAAGTTTTTAACTAACAAATTTTGGCAATTTGAGTTTACTGAGTGAAAAGGATCCTATGTGCACTATTCAACTCTATTTAGGTCATCAATAGTCGATATTATAAAAATATTGATATTTTTCTCTACTAAGCACTACATTTTATATGAAACAGGCAAGATGAGTTTATAATGATCAGATTCATTTATAATTCCTAGAGCTTTCGGAAAACGATAGTTTTAATTTTTATTTTCAAAATTACAATTGCATCCCTAACCCTTGAAGAATTGTGTCAAAACTGGAGGATTAAAATAAATCCCATCAAATCACTTTTACCCTTTTCGTAAACCTATGACTTCCTGTCCTACAGTATCCCTTAATAATACCCCACTTATCACTGTTGAACCGGACCGTTATCTAGGACTCCACCTGGACAAACGTCTAACTTGGAATCCTCATACCAGACTGAAACGACAAGAAACCGCTCGACGTTTCTGACTACTTCAACATTTACTAGACAAACGCTCTAAGCTCCCAGGCAATTACAAAAGACTCATATGCATGAATACAATAAGAGTCCACTAAGCTATCGAATTCCTCTCGTATCCAATCCTTACAATCCAAAATCCTTACTTTGTCACAAATAAAACCATCCATAATGACCTTAATGTTCCTTATGTTTTTGACCTGGCCCAATCCCGATACCTATCCTTCCTTAACAAACTTCTGAACCTTCCGAACCCTCTCGTTTCTAACCTTGCTTCCTCTTCGATCCCCGATAACCCTCAGAGGCGTCTGAAAAGAAGATGCCTTTTGTAAATACATTTTTAGAGTGCTACCAGTGGGTAGTTTCTCAACAAGTGGTTTCATGTTATAATCTTTTGTTCACATTTACTGAATGTATTTTTATTTGTAATACAGTCGTAAATATCATCAATAAAAAAAAATTTCAAAATAAAATATTGAAAGGACGATATTTTGATAATATTGACTATTGATGGCCATCCTAATCTGTGCATAATAAATGTCAAGAGTTAAAATAAGGAAAGATTATCATCGCTAAATCCTGAAGAAATTTATAATTGATTTTACAACCAATAATCAATTTACGATACAAATGGGTTAAATGCTTATGATTTTATAATTATTGTTCAAAAATCACTTACCACATAGGGGATCAATTTGGTTTCCTCTATTTCATAGGTATTGTATGTATATATCTAATATCTACTGAATGGATAAATAAAAAACAGAACAACAACATGAAAAGTCATTAAATATTTTTTTATTTCCTCCTTAGACCATAATCTTCAACCCACCGAACAGATGCAAAAGAAATTTGTTTATTGGAATTTTAAAAATTTGGAATAAGATTTTTAGATGATAAAATTAAAAAATTACATTTAACATAATATACAACAAAAAATAACTGCTTCCAATGAATTTGACATGTTGATTAATTCCAATATAAGCACAATATAAAAACTGTATTTTTATATGAGTACAAACATAACATTGTGCTTCAATTATCTAATATTGTGTACTTAACAATAAATTTACATATACATTATACTCCACAAACATTTAGCTGTATCATAAATAATAATAATAAAAAACATAATTTTAAAAATCCATACATGAAACTAAAAAAAAAATAATAATAGATATAATAATAAAAATAAAGAATTACTAAGAACACAATCTCTTCCTTCATTCTTTTTAAGATGGGAAATGAGAATATCGTGTTCAGCATACAGTTAAGTCTATTTCATAAATAATACTTGAGCATGTACATATGAAATCAGCCATTAGGTATTTTTTTAAAACAATATTCATCTTATTATTTTAAATGATTTATAACATTTTTGTAGATGTTAACAAAATGATTTAATAGGAAAATTATACAGGAATGATATCTGATTGGTTTCATTGTAGTTAAAAAGACAGTGACTTTCAGCCAGCTTCTTCCCAGGTCCCGACAAAAGACATTTGTTGTATTTTCAAAAATGAAATATGTTCCTTTTTAAATATTTAAATTCAACTTTCTCGGTTTTTAATATATGTGTTTATATATAATATATTTTTAATTTATTCATTTTTCTTTTTGTGTTTCGGAACCACGAAAATCTTCAGACTGACAATATTTAAATGCTAAAGTATTGGCTAGAGAAGCAGTAGTCTTCCGTGTGTGACGTTAAATATTGCCATCCTAAAAACCGGACAATCGAAAACCTTTTATAAAACACAAGGTTTCCAAATATCTCTGATGAAAAACAATAACTACACTGTAAAGCTTCGCCAGCTTCAGTAATCATCCAGATCGTAAAAATCGTTGTCAGTTTCGTCACATTGTAAACTTTGGAAATCAACCTTGTATCGTAGTAAGCCTGTTAAAACAAACAAGAAAAAAAAAATCATTAAAACAAATCAATTAAATTAAAATTGCACACAGTTTTTTTTAAAAAGGCTTTAGAATGATGTTAGAATTGGATGAGACTATATATGTTAAAATTAAAAACTTACAGAAACATTGAATAAAAAAAAAACTATTACTTTCTCAAAAAAAACAAAACAATTATGTTACCAGATATAGAAGTCCGTGGTACAAACACATTTTTATCAAATTATTAACATCTGCCTGAAACTTCGTCTATTTAAGTGAAAGTAAAAAATATAACAATAAATAAATAACGAATAGCTATAATAAAAGTATTAGTCACTTTAATGTTCTTGGAGGAGTTTATGATCAACTTTAAGAGTGAATTTCTTCAATTCTTGAAAAAAGAATTTTTGAGTTATATCCAAAAAAAATTTTCTTTTCTTTATAACATTTTCCCTACTTTTTCTTAGGATAATACCTTAAATTATGAATGTATTAACATTTGCCAATAAAACAAATTATTTTCCACTCCTATTCCCAAATTATATATGAAATGTTTGGAGTCAATAATTTTTAAAATAAATACCGACATCGCTAAAGTCAACTATACTTTAGCGAACCAAAACAAGAAAATCGGATACTTTAAACACAGCTACTATAGATAACAACAACAAAAACATTCCTCTAATTATTTAATTAACGAAAAATATAATTGTACCTACAATTGAGTACTGAAAACTCAAAAAACAAAATCGAGAAAAAAGGTGGTCTTCAAAAATATTGAGCCATTTGACCTACACTCCCAAAATGTTAAAATAACGAGCTTATATAGGCCAAACAGCCCAATATTTTTGTAGGCCACCATTTTTCCCCCTAGAATTTGTCATCAAATTATCTTACAAACCAAGTGGAAAGCAAATGAGTATTCACGAGTTTTTAGTATCTAATTAATTGTACAAACTTTGCTAATCTCCAGATTAAAAACGCCCCTATTACAAGAGTTTTCATAAATAAATAGTTGTTCATTACAATGGGATAAAGCTATTGTAATATACACCTTTATTGGAAGTGGGTAAAAATGATTTAATAAATTAATGTTGAACAGTTAAGCTAATCTAGTTCTACTAGTGCAGGGAAAAGAAAATGGCTTCTCTGTAGTTTCCCAAGAAGGAAAATCCCAAAGAGGAGAGGGACAAAGGTTTTTGTTTTGGCAAGCAGTTGTTGTGTGACTGCAGTGAAGAGAAGTGATCCTGGCTCCAATGGGTAAAACCCAGTAATAGTTTTACCATCTTAGAAGATCTTGTTTGGCAGGGAGAATAGTTGTTTGGAACTGCAAGAGAGAGGATTTCCCAGGGAGCTTGAGTTGAGTGGAAGAATAGAGTTACCATTTTGGGAAATGAGTTTGGCAGAACATTGTATGTAGAAAAAAAGGTTAGCTTTTCAATTCATACTTGACTTTATTTTAAAATCAATGTTTAATTTTAATATAAATAGTTTATATTATAATAGTTTGTCTGAGTTGATCTGATTGTCAGTAAGCCACACCTGAGATAAATAAATATATTAATTTTCTTATAATTTTGTTTATTATTATAACAACCTCTCATTTATTTAGGAAATATCCCAAAAGTATAAAGTGAGCTTCTGAGGTTATATTATTATTATATGTCAGATATAAGAGGGATGTTACACTATATACGAAGTCCCAGGCGGGTGTTAATAATTTGATAAAATTGTAAAATTATTTCATGAGGAACGACCCGAATTCGCATGGAACCAATCGGATGAAATAATATTAAATAAGGAAGATATACAGCCAGTCACAATCATAGAACTGGATTCAGTTCTCAAAGGAATGAAAAATAGAAAATCTCCTGGCCCTGGTTATATTCCAATTGAATTAATTAAAGCAGGCCCGACCGAATTCAAAATGGCACTGGCAGAAAGTATGACACTTCAGTTAAATGGTGGAGAGATCCCCGAAGAATGGAAACAGGGTTATATCACTCCAGTTTTAAAAAAGGCCAAAAGAAAGACGTTTCCAACTACAGAGGTATTACTGTTACCAGCTCGCTGAGTAGATTATACGGCCAGATAATTAAAAGCGGAATTGAAAATGATTTAAAGGAAGAGATCAGCGAGGAACAGGCGGGTTTTCGAGCTGGAAGATCATGCACTGATCACATTTTTAGTCTCTCACAACTTAGAGAAAAGAGGATGGCCCACGACCGTGAACTCCACATGATATTTGTGGATTTACACAAGGCCTACAATTCAGTACCTCTAGCGAAATTGTGGAAAGCTTTGGAAGCCACATCTATTAACAGATACCTCATCAGAGCAATTCAAGAGCTCTATAAAAATATAACGGGGGCTATAAAAATAGGAGATAGAGAGTCTAGAAGCTTCTCCATTAACAAAGGACTGAAACAGGGCTGCTGCCTTTCACCCCTGATTTTCAACATTTATATAGAACAAGCCCTTAAAGACTGGAAAAGATCGTGCTGTGGAATGGGTGTTCAAATCAGAAATGATGTAATCTAAAATTTGCAGTATGCCGATGATCAAGTCATAATCGCATCGGATCCGGATGATCTGAGCTATATGATGAGGAAGTTGCTAGACACGTATTCCAGATGGGGTCTGAAAATCAGTGAAAGTAAAACAGAGTGCATGGTTTTTAACGCTCCAAATTTGCCCCTTGAAATTGATGACTGGACGCTAAATGTCAGCCAGTAGTTCAAGTACCTCGGATACTGGTTATCTTCAAAGGGAGGTAGTGAGGTTTACATCGAACATAAAATAAATAATGGGAAAAGAATAATAAGTTCGATAAATTCAACCCTATGGAGTAAAGAAATAAAATTATAAACTAAAAAGAAGATACCATTCCTCTGTATAAAGCGTAGCCACTTACAGATCAGAAGTTTGGACAATGACAAAAAAGATGGAAAATAAGTTGCTTTCCATGGAAATGGATTTCTGGAGAAGAAGCTGTGGCATATCCAGAATCGAGCGGATCCCAAACACAGCTATTAGAGACAAGGTCGGATGTCAAAAGAACATCCTTCACCTGATCGGGACCAAACGGTTAAAGTGGTATGGCCACTTAATGCGGATGGATGAGAACCGCTGGCCAAAGAAAATTTATACCTATATGCCACCTGAAAGAAGGAAGTGTGGAAGGACAAAGAAGAAATGGATAGAGGGACGTGGAGGAAAGCATGGCAGCCAGAGGGCTTCGTGAGGGAGATTGGATGGACAGGGAGCAGTGGCTTTTGGGTATTGGGGATATGACTCTTTAAGTTGTATAAAACCCAAATATAAAAAAATTGCAATGACAATTGATATTAACATTCAAATGACCTCTTTTGTAATCTGTCAAACCACTACTAATGGACCAATGTTTCGTACCACGTTATCGTTATTCTTAGGGAACTTTAGATTCGGAATAAAATTACTTTTTCATTTCATATCATAATCCTCGCTTTAAGCCACTTATTCTGATAAAAATCATGAAAATGTATTTGTTTTCCACTTGAATCATAATAAAGTTTGGCCATAAAATCAAGAAAAATGATGGCCTGCAAAAATATTGGGTCTTTTGGCGTGACCTCCACTTCTAATTTGTCAAAATAACGAGGTTATGTAGTCGTGATGAAATTATCATACGATTCAAGTGGAAATCAAATTAATTCGTAAGTTTTAAGTGCTTAATTATGATAAATATTGATTATATAATATTGATATTGATTATGATAAAATGAAACCATTCAACAAGTTTTATACAGATGTTAATAATTCAATTTAAAGAGGTCTGTACCATAAACTTATTGGAATTTTATTTTATTTTTTTTAAGCTTGTAGGTTTCAGATTAATGTTAAAAAAAAAATATAAAGTTTATATACATCGTAACACTAAAAGTTAATACTATAGCATAAATAAATAAAATCTACTAAACAAAAATTTAATCATGCAAATTTTTTCAACAAAAGCTCAGTGAAATGAAAAAGTTGTGATTTTGAAAAAACGTTTAAAGTTAACTTCTATATTAGATTAAAGAATTCTAACACAATATCAGAAAAAAAAAATGCTGTAACATTCTAGACACGAACAAACCTTAAATAAATACGCAAGCTCAGTTGTGTAAGACTTTCTGTTTTTGAGTTAGACTATTCACACACAGACAATTTCCGGTTATTTAGACTCAAGGACCTCAAAATGTGAATTTCTGTTGAGAACTCAGGTTCATAAATTTTTACTATCGTATTACTATCCATTGCTATATATTAGATATATAGGTAAATGGAAATAAAAAAATTGGGTACGTATGGGGGGGGGGGGTTATAAATAGCGGGATGGAACGAAACCTCCCTTGTTATCTAATATTACATCACATAACCTCCCTTTTTATTTCATGTAACCTGTGAGTTATATTCCATTGTTTATTTTTGTTCCTCATGTAAGCTGTGAGTTATTTCATTATTTATTTTTGTTTCTCGTGTAAGCTGTAAGTTATTACATTGTGGGAATTGCCATTTTCAGATGAAGAGCTTATCGAATATATTCAAAACATCGGGATAATTCCAAATGTTAACTTATGCGAAGAAAGTCATCAAATGAAGTTAGACAGGAAGACGAAATGGAGATGCTTTCGTATCACTTGTAACAAAAATGTTTTTATAAGGAAAGGAACATGGTTCGAGAGGTTGAGGATTTCTTTTTTAACAACTTTAAAATTCATTTATGGGTGGTACCATAATTTAACAACAACAAAGAGCAACTAAAATAAAAAACATAGAGGAACTGACAGACAACACCTCGATTCATATTTATGCGAATTTTTGTGGCGGCGGGCTCACAGAGAAGAGGACCCGTTCCTCACTATTTTAAATAGCATTAAGCTATTTTGTCTATAGTGTTTATATTGTTTCTTTTATATGTACATATATTGTTTAAGTGTTTTTTTTATTATTTCATATATGTGTTGTAAAATTAAAGTGTTTTGTTATTGTTGTGGGAATTATTAAATTTGTTTTCGTCTATTTAATGTATATGTTGTAAAATAAAAGTATTTAATCAAACTGTTTTGTTATTATTACATTTATTTTCGTCTATTTAATATATATATTGTAAAATAAAAGTATTTTTTTAATTATTACATTTGTTTTTGTTTACAATTTCAATAATATGAATACGAAGATAGGAACTATCAGTTTTCAGGTTATAAACATTGGGAGATAGCAATCGTTCCTGGGCTATTTAAGAAGTACCAAAAACTGTATTGGTATATTGGGCTTCAATAACAATTAAATATAAATAAATAGCTTATTTAAAAAAAGTATCGATTTATTAACATTCCTGAATGAAAACAATTTTAACTAGGAATTAGAAAATAAGTATGGCATTGCCACTCGTTTTTCTGCATACATTAAGTATGACATTTCCGGAATAATTTTTTGTAAAATACTTCTAAACTGCCGACATCATAAAACATGTAAATCATTAAACAATGGACACATAAGAAATTGGAGGATGTGGGTTGACACGGCCACAATGAATAAGCACAAGTGAAGACCTACTGTCCTTCACTTGGTAGAAAATTTAATTATTTTGCTTGTGATTAACCGAAAAAACATATCCTTTTCTTATTAAATATAAAAATCAAGATCGCTAACTGGCAGTTTTTCATAATCGCTCTACAGCAAACAGAGGCGTTTCGTATTAGAGCAGAAATTAGTTCCTTATAGACAGCAATATAAACACACTACAATACTAGTTCACTTTCATAACTTTTTTTTGTCATTTGTTTTTTGAAGCAGTATTTGTTATTTCTTAAAAAGATACAATTTTAAATACTTAGATATTAAAAAACATTCCCTTCAGTTGATCATCTATTTAGTTTTAACACATTAATAATGTCGATGTACAATTAAAAAAATTTTTTTTTGTGTGACGTGTAAAGTTTGCTAGAGGGGCACCTTAAACCTTTATCAAAAAATTATATTGACATAATAGTATAACTATTACTAAAAAAACAGTGCAGATCGAAAAAATATAATAAAATAAAAAATCTAAATGTAAAAATTGAATAAAAGATATTTAAAGGAATGACATGCAAAAATAATCTAATAATTAGCATACGACTAAGTTTAATCGACAAAGAAATTCATATACATCAAATAACAGAAAAAATAAAGAAGAAAAAAAACCATGCGCTGCTGATAATATAGCTTTTTTTTGGTAGAGCCACTAATAACAAAATAAAAAAATATGTATTTTAAAACCAAAAATTAAAAAAAAATTAATAGCACGACACAAAAATAAAGAGCCGAAATACACTAGTGTTTTTCGGCCCGTTAAGGCTCCTCTACCTTCTTTTAATAATCATCTAAATCGAGATCGTCCAGCGGTTCATCAGCCTGGAGAGACTGGAAGTCAACTTTGTAGCGAAGGATTCCTATAAAAGTATTTCCCAATTTTTGTTTGTTGTTTTCTTTTTATATTTTTCTCAAAGTCTTGATAAAAACAATGAAAATACAAGACCTCTCTCACTAAAAGTAACTACCAAAATAGACAATAGAAAAGAAAAAGAGGTCTCGTAAACCAAAATTTATAATATAGGTTTGTTCATATTCAGAAAGAAAATAGCACAATTCCAACTTAAAATTGTTCAATTCGAAAATCAAGAATCTCAACATTAAAATTCAAAGCATCTTTTATCAATTTATTCTAAAAATAAATCGGATTTAATTTTTAAAAAAATCAGAACCATAAACTGTTGTAGTCCGCACTACAGACGCCTTTATATTAAAATCCATCTAAAACTTCATGAACAACTGTATCTTATCATAACATACAACTTTTAAATTTATGAAAATTCTCAGAAACGGGGCATTTTCAATCTGAAGACTGTCTATTTAATGAGTTACTAAAAATTCATTTTTTTTCCACAGCAATCGTAAGATAATTTGATAACGAAATAGATATAAAAGGTGGCCTACAAAAATATTGGGTCATTTAGCGTAAACTTCACCAACAACATGCCAAAATAATGAAGTTACCTTCATTAAGCTTAACGGCCAAATATTTCTGCCGGCCACCTTTTTTCTCAATTTTGAGATCAAATTATCTTACAATTTAAGTGGAATGCAAATGGGTATTCATGAGATTTTAGTAGCTTATTAAATTTAATTAATTTAATGAAAAAACAATCCATTTCTGAAAATTTTCATAGATAAAAAAGTTGTAGATTACAATAAGATGAAATCATCCACGAAGTTTCAGACAGATGTTAATAATTTGATGAAACAGGGGTCTGCACAGCAGAAACTGATATGTTTGGCCTGCTTCTGATAAAATGTACAACAAGGACTAGATAATGGAGATATTTACCTAATTCCTAACAATGACAACTGAATTTCTATTGCCAAAAACAAAGTAAATAATAGAATATAGTAAGAAACAATATTATTGAAGGAAGTTAATAGACTGTTCTACATATTTCAGGACACAGTCATTATAGTTTTATTTTTGCCGACGTTTTAACCCGAACATAGCAGAACTTTAATACCTTCAGTGCTCAAAGCCCTGATGATGACCCACATACATGTTTGGGTTGAAACGTCAGAAAGCATAAAAACTTTATAAACGACTGCATCCTGAATATTTATCACCCATAAGAAACAATAATTTCATGTGTAAATAACTAAGACACGTCCAATATTGGCTGCCATTATTGTCTCTTTATGGTGGGCATAAAAGAAGTACTGGACAGCCGACTGGGGTAAGAGAAATATATTCACCAGAAAAAAATTCAAATAGAAAATTTGAAATCAAATACTGAGTCAAAGAGAAACAAAAGTTGGCTATACAAATAAGACTAGATGAACATAAAAAAAAAATCCAAAGAACTGTATAATAGCTTCCAATAATAGAATATATTTCACATCGAAAACTTCCATGCATTAAATAATAACCTAATACCAGTATATACCTATTACTTCCATGTATTGAATATTAATCAATATTTAGAACTGAAAAATCATTACCACAACAAAGATTAGTAATCAGAAAAAGTAACCATAATTAACACAACTGAACAAGAGTTAATTCACATTAATATTACACAAACAGAACAGAGGTTAAACATTTAAAATTAAGAAATTAATGTGGTTAGTTTTATTTTTTCACAATTATGAACAAACCTAATTATAATGTTAATAAAGTTAACAACACTTATTTGTTAAGATATTAGAACTATTTAATAAGAGTTAAGTTGATAAGGAGAATACATACCACCAATTCCACCGAACCCGCGGACGAATTGTGATCCTTCTTGCGACTTGTCTGTAATAATTTCGAGGGTGGCACCGAAACTTTTGTAGTTGTTCGCAAGCCATTCCAAAAGGGGCTGGCTTTCAACTAACTCAAGTTCAACCCCGCTCTAAAATAATAATAAAAATAATATAATTAATTTCTTATAACATAATAATTCTGATTTATTCGACTTTAATATTCAACTCGAAATAATAGACATATCGTCGGTTTATTGCAAAAAGTCAATAAGTATGTATCAATGGAATTAAAATACGTTTCTTACTGATATAAAAACAGGTAGTAAAAGCATCAAAATTATAAGAATCCTCTTATACATGACATATAGTATCACCAAGTGTACAATGTTCTAATTTCATAGAGAGAAAATGTTACATAATGAGTTTTTTCAATAAACCAGCAATATTTTTAAAATATCTAAACTGTAAAAACTATCAAAATAGACAATGTAAAAATGACAACAAATTATACAATAATAATAATAGATTAATAGTTAACTATCGTGATTATAATGAAGAAGAGTTTGGTTGAGGTGAGCAGTCACAAAAATAAATATATTATATTTATTTTTGCAGACATTTTGGCCCAAGATCCAGGCCTTCATCAGGGCTAAGAAAAGATAACAAAAAACGAGAAGCTAATAAATGGTAACAACATAATAATAGGTAGTAAAACAAAGTTGGGATATAACATATAAGTGAAAAAGGTTAGGAACTTATGAAATAAATAATAACGGTAACAGAGTTAGGAACTTATGAAATAAACAATAATAAAATAACATTAACAATGTAACAACGGTAACGTAATGAAATCAGAAAAGAAATTAAAAAATGAATTAACAGGAAATGTAATGGAATATCAAGAGATAAATAATTATTTACTTCATAGTTCCCAACTCTGTTACTATTATTATTTACTTGATAAGTTTTTAACCTTTTTTACTGTTATGTTATATATCTTAACTTTGTTCTTATATTTCTACTATATAAGACCCTGATTAGTCAGGTTCTTACGTATGGGTCAGAGACCTAGGTCTTCACTAGAGCCAACGAGAACCTCCTTCTGGTGTTTGAACAAAAGATATTGAGAAGAATTTTTGGTCCGGTTCGAGACACCTGGAAAAGGAGGAAAAACCAGGAAATCACAAGGCTGTACAGAGATCCTGATATCATCAAGTGGATCAAGATTGGGAGACTCTGATGGATGGGCCACGTGGCAAGGATGAAGGACGAGATCCCTAAGAGGACATTGGCTGAAGAGCTTCATGGTAAGCGAAGAGTGAGAAGGCCAAATGTGAGAGGGGCCGACCCCGTCACAGCGGGGACACACAATCTTCTCGGAGCTAGGAAACTGGAGAGCTGCAGCAACAGAAAGAGCCAACTGGTGGAAACTTTTGGAGGAGGCATAGATCCGTTAACGGGTTGTTGCGCCAACTATGTATATATGTGACTGCTCATCCCTACCAGCTCCTCTTCGAATAATATAATAGATTGTTAGTTTACAAGATAAACAAAATAAGACAATAATACAACTTTGGGAAAATTAAGTTATTACTTATTATTAAAATAACACACCAGTCAATACATGAAGAATAAATTGTAAACATATATTATTTTTTTTTTTAAACAATAAATTCCAATGATCGGTAAATGTAACTGCATGTGTTGATGCAAGTTGAACCAAGTCTTGCTTCGATTGAAAATTTCGATAAATTTGAAATTAATATTACATTCTCTTTCAGTTAATTATCAGCTTTATGATAAGAAAATAAATATTTCTTAAAATGAAATGAGCAGCCTTCCTTTCATTGACAGTTATTTAAATCTGCTAAAATAAAAATTGAAATGATTTATTAATTAAGGGACCAACAAGCTTACTTCTTTATCAGTAAAATGGGTTTTGTCTTTTTCTTGCTCAGGTGTCAAGTGCAGAACTTTCTCTTCGGCGCTGGAATGATTCTTGAGTACGTATCGCTGTATATCAAGGTTTTCCCAACATATGAGAGTTTCGACTGAACCAAGCTCTAATGCTCGCAGCGTATCTTCAACACCAAAACAATATTTACCGGTATCCTGACTGATTTCATCAAAGTAGCGTCCTGTAAAAGCAAACCCAAGGTTGAGTAAATTTAAAATACAAAACAGGTACCAAATTAAAATAGATTGTTGATTGTAATAAAATATTTTTCTAAGTAAACTGAATAATCTTTATACTTTATAAAGTAACATCTAATTAAAAACCATTCAAATCGCTAATGCTTATCAATTGGCTGTTATTGGTCGACAATAATGGTCAAATAGAATTAATATGCGTAAGTATGTTGGTCATAAATATTTGATAAGCTTAACCAAAAACAGTCCCAACCAATATCAGTCAACTACTAAGCTTAAAAACAGAAGTAACAACTTATTAATGTAAATGTTCTACGCTTATGTGCTACACATTTAGGGCCATAGCAATCTCTCGCACTCATTGGATGGAACTTTGATCAACAATGCTCGTTTCAATTTCATGCGAGCGACCAGATCGTTGATCATCATTGATATAAAAATTACTTGAATGAAATTTGGCAAACCGATTTTGACAGGTGTGTTCGGTTAAGGCACCATCCCCATAAACACTGCGAATTTTTATATGAGCTTCTGCGGCACGCTTACCTTTTTTAAAATAATACAACAAAATATGTCGATAATGAATGATATTTTCTTCCATATTCACAGCTCAATAGCAAATACAATACTAAGCAAGTTTCAACAAGAGTTAACAGATATATCTTTGGATGTATTACAAACAGGATAAACAATCCACCTTGATTAATGATTAATTCATCAGATAAGAAGTGTATCATAGTGACATAAAAATCGTAAAGACTTATCTACTAACCCAATATACAGATAAAATAATTAACTACGTTCTCTCTACTGTTGGCAAAAGTGATTTCGTACAGTTACGTTAGGTCATGACACGGCAATATTATTCATTTAATATTAAATATAGAAACAAAACGTACCGATCAGTTTCTTTTCTTGAATAAACTTGACGTTCTGAAGGGATTCAGCAGCCAATTCAATAGCTTGATTAAACCCATTCTCACCACCATAAGACACATCTACTAGCTTAATAATTTTGGCTTGCAAACGCTAAAAAATAAATAAATAATTAATTATATAATTATTGAATAAAAAAATTGAAGCAAATCATTAAGGTCAGAATGATCTTTTACATAATAAATTACAGGATACAAATTTCAGAAGTACATTTGTAGCCTAATACTAACATTAATTCATTTAATAATAATAAAATTTACCACTACTCTTGTACAAAAAGTCAATTTTCACATACAACCTTTTGCACTAATAGTAGCGATATATATTAGACAGCAATCAAATATTACATTTAACAATACATGAAAACACATCCACATAACTTTCAGTATTCAAAACCGTTCCATTTAAAGAGTATAATTGACAAACAAAAATATATATTTTTTTAATACTGCTAAACAAAACAGGCATTACAATTTCAAAAGAATAAATAACACAAGTAGAATTAAATGGCTTATATAAATAATATTTTTAAACATAACAAATAATAATGGTTTTATCTCAAGGATGTACATCTATCGTTTTCAAAGTAGAGAAAAAATCGTATTTTTTAAAATAACTTTAATTTAAACCAATTGAGTGGCTTCATATCAGAGACGGACATCTGACATTTTTAAAAAGTTGAGAAAAAAAAACAATCTTTGTAACATAAGTCCACTTATTATGATTGTTTTTCGTTATACAACTAGCAAATTCTTTACTAGAACCATCGGAAACAGTAGTTAAACTTAGAAAATAGAAATAAAATTGTCCTCCAATTTCTGAAAATGACAGATGCCTATCTTTGATATGAAGCCACTCAATTAATTTTTAAAGAATTTATCATTTTTAGAATTCAGCATTTAAGCCTTGTTAAACTATTTTAATGCGTACAAGACCTAAGTGATATTAAAATCATTTAATGTTTTGTCTTATTTAATTTTGTCATTGATAAGACAAGTTTAATCAAAATATATAAAATAAATTATATAAAATGGTACTGTCAGTAATTGATATAATGATAAAAGTTAATGTAACGTCCCATGTATATACCTAACTTAAATACATAATTTCAGTGTTATACAATTTTTTGTAGTTGAGTTTACTGTTCATGGACACATACAGATCTTTGTCCTTTGAGAAAATTTACTATATTTTCTTATATTGCTAAATAAGATCAGAATTAGTTTGAATTGAAACTATATAATAGTCTTATTAAGAAAACGACAATTTCGGTTATGTGTATATAAGAAATTATCTTTTTCTCAACTTTTTGAAAATAATGTATGTCAACATTTTATATGAAGCCAATTAATTATACAAACTGTTATAAATAATAATATACATACCGGGTCGAACATGTCAGACTGACTCAGTTCAGTCTTGAAATCAGCACTACCTGCCAATATAAGACCGGCAATATTGGGCTTATCGTTGGTTATAAAAAGGGTCGTTGCGACTTCTGCTACTTTCCTAACGTAATTGTGTCGCTTTTCCATTCTCAAACGAGCGAAACGAAGGGCTGATTGACCACCACGACCTGTGGGACAATGGATAATAACAATAAATTTACTTACAAAAAAAAAAGATAAATAAGATATAATTAAATAAAACAAATAGTCTTTACTAGAATTGACAAAATTTAATACTAAATAAAATAATTTTTAAAATAAAAGAAAAACCATTATTACACTAAGAGCAGACTGCAAAGAGTTAAAGTGGTTTTGACTTGACATGCTTTCCAACGGATTATCAGTTCCTGTTAATTAGTCTCAGAGTAAATTAGTTCTGCATTCATTTTGCAACTAACCTTATTCTAAGACCATTTTAAGGTAAAGAGTAGCAACTAGGCTTAGCCTGAAATTAAATCTAACTCTTTCAAACTCATAGAAGAGATCATTACTCCCGTTAAAACATTTAGGCTAATCCTACCATTTAATAATTTACAGCACAAACTCCAAAACTTATTCCAAAAACAAATACCAACCTAGATTTACTACCATCATTAATATGGTGATAAATAGAGTTGGTGGCCAATAGATGTACATAAACACCAAATAGAACATGTCTATTCGATGACAGCAATGCTGAGATAAGAGCTTAATTCTTATTAAATGTATTGTCTTTAATAACAAAGAGAAATATATGAAAGTTAATGTTATAGCAAAACCAAACCAAAAAAAAAAACTAATTACTTCTATGTGGAAACTTAATAATGAATTCAATTTAGAAAAATAACAATGCTGACTAAAAATAGTTTGGTAGATTTAAATGTTTACTGTTTCTGAAAAACATTTTATCCTTCCTTTTGACAGATTTCCTCTAAATAATCAAAATGAATCACCTCTCTAAGGCAGATAATGAGTCAACGGCAATTCTGATCGTGGACTATTTAGTAATGATTCAACGGCTCTATTATCTATGATCGACAACAATATAATTCAAAATGAAAATGTTACACTCCTCAAGATATTTTCACTTTAAAATAAGAAAAACCTCAGGTTTTTAGCAGATAGGAGAGAAAAGCGTAAAATTGTGTTTAAATTTATAGCTCATCCAAATGGCAATTACATGCTGATTTTTAAATCATTTCTGAAGAGCTATGAAAGAAATAAAAGTGGAAATGAGATATAACAACAGTCACTCAAACTTTAGAATTAACTTGACAGTTTATTTACTGGTAAATCGATAACTTATCACAAAGACTAATTAAAATTTGTATGAAGTGACTATTATGCCCACTTTATTTCCTAATTACGTAAAAATATAACCCATATTTTTTTAAGCCGCCATCATTTTTTCTCAAAAACAACATTAATATCACACACCGGATCTTTAATTCAAGGCACACCATTAACTTAATTAATTTAAGTTAAATATTAACTCTTAATTTCTGAAGATGAACCATATTTTAAAAATCTACACTGAATTCAAGACTGATTATTAAGGGCAAGATCTATGAAATTTCTATTGATAAGAATAATGAATAAATGAGAAATAAGACTCAATCAAGTTATAGTTTTAAAAGTAATGAAAGATAATTACATAACTTAGGATCGTATCTCAGGCTTAAAAGTGAAACATGTCAACCCCATTATGTGACTAAACTTAACAAAATTAATCAATCTGGAGTTGATAAGTTCCACTAAAAAGTCTGCAATGTTCACTACTAAATAAGGAACAAACCGTGCTTCTTGGGTAAATCGACCGTGAACTTATGAAGTACTTCTCGCGTGTTTCCTTGAAGGGTTCCAAACAGAGCTCCGTTACCATCCATAACAATAAAACCGAATTTGTTATCATCTGCCAAAAGTGCAGTTAAAGCTTCTGTGTGAAACTGAAAAGAAAATTATTAACATAAGGATAAGGATTTACAAGTATGTATGCATGCTTGTTAAATGTCACATATTGTACATAATAGGGCTATAATAAGAGCATATAAAGGATTTAAAATGAAACTAACCTTATTGTCACAAAGATAAAGCGATGTATTAATGGGTTTAAATGGTTCAAAATCTATATTAACTTTTTTTTCTTTCCCTTCTTCAGTCACTATTGTGCCACAGTAAATTACAAGGCCATTAGGGGGAACTGGAAACAGGAAAAAATAATAATTACGACACTAAGAGTAAATTTTCAAATTATAAAAACTGAAATATAACTCACCTTTAGTATAAAGTTTCAGTCTATGTTGCACAGAAGTGATTGCACCCAGTACGGACAGCCTATTAACTCTCGATTTGATGTTGGACGCGGTACCAAATTCATCGGCCAACATTTTGCTTACCCTCGAAATCTGATCCTTGGGAGGAATTATCAAAGATATCATGCTTGTACCATTCCTAAAATGTCAATAATCCAATAAGACACATGCTTTTTCATAAGTGTTATACAATAAATCACCTTCAATATGCTCAACTAACCCCCGAGCCATCTCCAGACTTTTGATCAGTTTCTTGATTTTCCAAATTTCGACATTGCGGTCTGAAGATGTTTCTTCAGTATTGTATGAGGAAGACATTGTATCGTTTTTTAAAAAATTTAACTACGTGGAAAAAATAAGTAAATAATATGTTTCTTTTAAATAATTGATAACCACTCGAACACACACACAAAAACTCTCTTCGTATTAATCAGATGCGAATTACAAACGATTTTTAACAATTAATAGCAATAGGGCACTAAAATATTTATAAAACTTTTAAACTTTCTCGAACAGCAGAATGATGCACAAGGCCTCTATCCACCTGAAACCAGTTATATCCGGATATCTAACCACGACAGGTCTCGTTACATGGATTTAAGAGAAATTTGTAGATATGTTGCCTAATATGAATCCCACCAATATACATTTCTAAACTAATACAGTTATGCTATAATTAAGGCCAACACAAATTAATAAAATAGTACAACCCAAACAGCCATGTGGTTAAAAATGGCTAGTGACAAGAACTATGCTATCCCCTGTACTCCCATTCAGGCAAGCCTATTTTATTGACGTCACGCTGGATAACTTGATTCGCCCCCCTCTTTTAATATTTCAAATTTTTTCTCAACTACGTCAAAGAAAATAATAATAATTATATAATTTCAACAAATTTAGAAATAATTTCAAACAATTCATACGCTAGATACGCCTTAATGAAATGAAACAGATGAATTGTAACAACACTGGCGGGTAAAATTGAGCGGCAAATTTGAATATAAATTTTTTTAAAACAACATTTAGTTTAATATATAACCGTTTTTTATGTCCCCAATAAGCAGAAAAAACACTCAAGTTTTATATTTGTTGGCCTTTTAGTAACTTATATAATTTATTAAAAGTTTAAACTCTTTATTCTTATTTTTTTTTTATATTTTTAAGCATCTGTTAAATATTTTCAACAATTAAAAAAAAAATCAATTTTATCTAATGGGTGATAAATATTCAGGACAAAGTCATTATAAAGTTTTTATTAGTGCCGACGTTTCAACCCAAACATGTGGGTCATCATCAGGACTCAAGATTTTTTTAAGTACAATCAGAGATATAATATTATACGACTAATAATGGTTAGTAATGAAAAAAATATAGTGATTGATGGTACATGAATCTTAACTAATGTTACAATACAAATATTACAAATGAAATATGCAGAAAGTTATACAAACTAAATTTCTACGTATTTCATTTATGATATTTGTATTGGAATATTAGTTAAGATTCATGTACGATCAATCACTATATTTTTTCATTATTAGTCTTAATTAATATTATAACAGATATAATATTATATCTCTGATTGTATTTAAAAAAATGTTTAGCCCTGATGATGACCCACATGTTTGGGTTGAAACGTCGGCACTAATAAAAACCTTATAATAAATGCGTCCTGAATATTTATCACCCATGATATGATGAACAGTCGACTAATTTCCTTCAACAATTTTATTTAAAATCATAGGTATGTCAGAAAAAAATAATTATAATGTATAAAAAAAAAAGGAAGAGCAGTACGATATAGTTTAAAATTAAAAATAATAATGAATGAAATTATTTACACATATTAACTATTTTTATACTAAGCAAGCAAAATATTTTTTAAACAAAACATATTCGGCATAATGTCAGAACTTGAAAACGTCATAAGGCTACGTCAGTTTCAACGTACGTATCTTAAAAGGAAATTATGTTTCTATTGTAAATTTATTAATCAACAAAGATTTATCACAAAACATATTGTTAATAATTAGTCAATATGCTAGCAATGCCAGAAAAGATACAAGTAGATAAATTTGAATTTTTTTTTAATAAACTATTTTATTTTTCTTGATACAGAAAGAAGATAGAAAATATCAAAAATAAGAAACAGAAATTCTAGTATAGTGAAATAATCAATTATATATTTGTTTGGCCTATAGTTTGTGAAATGTCTAAACGCACTTTTAGAATGATTTTTTTTTTTTTTTTATACAATAATTGAATCGGTTATTTTAGAAAAACCACATATATAATTTTTATAAGTTTTGAGATGAGATTTATACTCGCTACAGTATTAATAGATATATTTTTAAATGCTATATTTTTTTTTGTACAAGTTTATTTATGAAATTTTTTGTATAAAATAGTTTTTGCATTTTTCAAAATTACAAAAATGTCATATAATTAGTTTTTGGAATAATCTATTAAATTACATTTTAATGGTTACCGATTGAAGTATGTTCGTACTTACATTATATCATTTGATTACAATAGAGGTAGAAGTTATTGCCGAAACAAATTTCGATATAATTTCCAAAATGCATTGTGCAAAACCATTTCTTATTCAATGAACACGAGGCTAGATGTAGATGTGGCAATAATTCTAAAATGGTGCCCGACTCAATTGCGTCTCCTACGGATTGACGCATTTAATTATAAAAAGAAGTTTAACGAATGGTCGGACTTAACATGCATCATTTCCTCGAATTAGCGTGAGGTCTAACATGCGCCTTCTAGATTAAAAAAAGTTCTTAAGGAACAATTATTTAATTATGTAAATAATTGTTAAATTATTTTAGGAATATTAACGAAGTACAAAAAAAAAAAAAATTTATAATTATTATTTAAGATTGGAAATAATCTTAGTTTCTAATTCATATCCTTATCTCAAGAATCTTTTAAGATCTCAAGTTTCTAAAAACGAGTTAACAAAAAATCGATTAGTCAGTTAGGTCTTGTTTCCATGGTGACAGTTACCGTTTCAGTCACATCCACTACCATCGTGTAAACGGCATGACAGTATGAAATTATTTCTACTCGACAGTACTGTCGTAATATGACGTTCAGTATGACAGATATTGTCAAGTTAACTGCCACGTATCTATTGCCACGTTGATTGGAGCCGCCAATTAATTAGCGATTGCTTATCTAATTGTGGATTGCAGGTTGACTGTAGTGAATAATTGTGAAGAGAGAATTTGTTGGGATGTTAAGCCAAAATTTTTTTTTTTTGAAACACTTTATTGAGAAATATTACAATTTGTCACAGTTAAGGACACTTATAATAGAGTTCAGAGAGTACATTCATACCGTATATACAAAAATATAAATAAATAAAGTAATAACAATAGAATAAGAAAAAAGAACAAAAGAGAAAAGAAAAGAAAAATATATATATACACATAAGTAAGTAAAAATAGAAATAAAAGTAAAACAAACATCTTATATAAAACATACCTATATACATTATTTACAATTTGCCAGGTGATCTCCGAACCAATCCTGTCCCCTCCACATGTGGAGGGAAAAGGGAGGCTTAGGAGATCCCTACGCTAATCCCTCAGCCATTTCACTGGTATTTAAAACCAGCGGAGGATGAGTAAGACCACTACAGCCACAGACACTCATAACTTGAGTGGAGAATCTGGCTATTGCTAGAACTCCAAAATATCCATATTTACAAAAGGTCTCGTGGCCACTGCCGCTTTAACCTACGAAGGGGATTGTAGGGATGGGTGGTGCTTGATAGGGATTGTACAACGGGATTTGGGTGATGAGAAAGGTTCTGGTGAAATTTGGAAAATAAGCCAAAAATAAATAAATTATATTTATGTTTATTTTATGGACCCGTATAATAATTAATTCAATTCAATTATTTAAAAAAAAAAAATCACTTCTTAAGGTGCGTTTAGACATTTCACAAACTATAGGACAAACAAATATATAAGTGGTTATTTCACTATACTAGAATTTTTGTTTTTTATTTTTGATATTTTCTATCTTCTGTCTGTATTAGAAGAAACAAAATAAATAGTTTATAAACAAAATAAAAATTTATCAACTTGTATCCTTTCTGGCATTATTAGCATATTAACTAATTGTTAACAGTATGTTTTGAGAAAAACCTTTGTTGATTAATAAATGTACCATAGAAATATAATTTCCTTTTAAGATACGTACGTTGCAACTGACGCAGCCTTATGACATTTTTAAGTTCTAACATTATGTCAAATATGTTCTGTTTAAAAAATATTTTTTGCTTATTGCAAAAATAGTTAATATGTGTAAATAAATTCATTCATTATTATTTTTAATAGTTCTTCCTTTTTATTTTATCTGAAAAAAAAAAACAGATAAGAATGGTTATAAGAAATAATAACACTAAAAAGAAAATAATAATATATAGAGCAAAGGTATAGATATAGTTCGCATATATTGTTATGATTCGATTATTTCTGAACTTGAAATTAGTTATAACCAAAGTTTTTAGTTATTATATTTCGGAGGAGAGAAATATAATTTAGTTTTATTAGAACCGCCCGACATTTTCGACTACTGCAGCACTTACTAGACAAACGCTCTAAGCTTTCAATCAATTACAAACGACTCATATATATGACAATAATAAGGCCTATTTGGACTTACGGAATTGAGCTTTGGGGCTCCACTAAATCATCGAATTCCTCTCGTATCCAATCCTTACAATCCAAAACCCTTCGTAAAATCCTCAACGCTCCTTACTTTGTCACAAACAAAATCAACCATAAAGACCTTAATGTTCCATATGTTTCCGATTTGGACCAATCCAGATACCTATCCTTCCATATCAAGCTGCAGAACCATCCGAACCCTCTCGTTTCAAACCTTGCTTCCTCCTCGATCCCTGATAATCCTCCGAGGCGTCCGAAGAGAAGATGGCCTCGGGACCTTCTAATATAGAACTTTAATTTGAGTTCTACCAATGGGTAGTTTCTCTTCAAGTTGTACACGTCATGTTACCAATGTCACATTTGCTTGTTGTATTTTCTATGTAATACAGTTATAAATTTCATTAAAATAAATTAAAAAAAAATGTTTTATTATAAAATTCTTTAATGTGATATTTAGATTTATTTTGCATTGAATAAATTATTGAAATTAAGTTTCTAGATGATTTTTTTAGTTGGCGCTATAGACCAGACAGATCTTGGGCTATATGATGTTACAGATACATGTCATCATCATGTCATCATACAGATCATCCAACCTTACGTTTCTACGGAATGGAGTCAATCATG